ATAATTTGTCTGTCTCTTTACTGTTCAGAAGATAAAAATAAGCCATTCAAATTTGACTGCAGTCAGAAGACACTAATCATGCAAACTTGAAAACTACACTTATCCGATGTCCTAGATTAGGTTGAAGAATGATTGATTTGTAGACGATTGTGAAAATTGTGATAGCATTCTTGTTCGAAAAACGATCCCGTATTAACCTATCCGACAAGTTAGCCCAATTGAACCCAAAAGAATCTCACATAGACGTAGGTGTAAGGTTCCATGTAAATCATGATCTATCTCTGTGGCCTGAGCTTGGTTCTAGCGAAAATATTTACGTCAGGTTTAACTGCTTTACTCCAATGAACATGAGTATTGTCCCTATTATGATTATAAATGGGATGAACTACAAAAGACTGTCAAAAACGTTTCACCCATACTGGCGAATCATTAATACGTACGCTAGTCAACTTGAAGTTTACATTTGGCTTCGTCCCAAATTTGACCCCACAATATTTCGATAATCGGTGAAGAGTACTCATGAGTTTTTGATTGCGTTTGCGTCAAAAAAAAACGTTAAGCGGAAGACCGGAACGTTTTTTTTCTTGTAATTGATGCGTTACGAATCATCCCAATATACGATTCATTTTTTCCGATTGTATAGATAACTATTAAATTAAAGGTAGTTGCTGTCTTGTTTTGAATGTAATGTTAATTTGAGATAGTTAATTTTTTTGGCTATCCGTCGGACAACCATTGAGTATATTTGAAATATTTATATTAAAAAAATGTGTAGCTTCTTAAGTTCTACAAAAGAGGCAACTGAAAGGCTTCCATTTTTCGGATTTTCACTATTGAGCAATGCAGATTTTATCAAAATAGTAGTTTACAATTGATAGAATGTGTTGATATGAAAATTTAAGGATGGATAAATCGAACTGGGGGAAGTGAAGGTGAACGCAACAGAGTGTCGAAAAGCGGCTTAGTTTGAGGAGCAGAAATAAATAATACGAGGCCTTTCGTTTGGTGAGGTTTCAGGTCGGTACCGCGTTCACGATCGGAGATCAGTCTCCCATGTGCCATTTGTATTGGCTTTAAAATCTGCGGGTTATTTTTCCAGGTAACGAGGTGCATGCAACACCTTAACGGATCCACAAAGAAACGAGGCTATTTGGAAATCGTAATAGGAAAATGGAATTAGTTCAGCAGACGAGAGGCTAGGAGAACAATTGCACCAGGATGACAGGGTCAATGATAGAAAAAATATATAAAATTAAAGAAGTCTGATTTTTGTTGTCGGATAGTTAGTTGTAATGGGACAATAGAATTTAGATAACAAGCTTTCAGAAAAACTTCTATAAATTAGTTACACGGGTGTAGACCTGTATCTCATATGTTAGATCAAATCCATTCGTATCAGAACAGATTCACGAAACAACGGTCAAATACATTGGTTTGGGGCTAATCAAATTTGGCGGGGTTGCCGTTGGCGGAGCTAGCGTCGATTACGTTAGGCTCGGTGTGATGTTATTAATGAATCAGATTAGTTGAATAAACGATAAAACAGGCGGGATCCATTTACTATTGTATGATAGCTAACAATGATACTAGTTGCAATATTGCCAGTTCTGGCAAGCGTACGCAGTTAATAAAGGCCAAGTACGATGAAAGAGGTCCGTTAGTTTAGTATAAAATTTCAAACAACCTATTACGCAAACAGGAACGAGTTTATATTGGTTCGCGTCGCCATTTCTCCGGGTTGAGAGCTCCGATAGGAGCCGCACTTGATATACTATTCATTGAGCATTGCAAAATAATTTTATCGATTTGTAAGCAAATTGCTTGTTGTAGGGGATACCATGCCGATTTCCATTTTTGTAAATGATCGCATTGGAAATGTCTGTCCGGTTACACCGAAGGTTGACAGGTTGAGAGGATCCGGCATGTAACTTCATAAACCAGACGACCGATTATTGCCCAGTTAGGTTGTAGCAAGTAGAAGCCACTTTTCATTCAACAAAAAAACGGAGCATTCATTTGAATTATAGCAACAGTTATATATACGCACCACAACTTTTTTCCATCTTCCAGCTAATTTAGGTCTGGTATTGTGGAAGTCGACCAGCCAGGCTTGAAGGCCCTCTCCGCTGTCAAACGTACAATTACTATTTTCATTTGACGGTAATTCGAAAAGATAATAATCCGTCCGGGAGAAGTATGAAGAATACGCAGCTAAATAAGAAAACACTTCCTTTCCAGCGGCTGTTGCACGGCGACTATCACAATATTTGCCAGGTGCAGTCTGAGCTTGTTATAGACGATTATAACTGTGCCTCGTGTATCGGGTTGTTTTTTTTATGACTGCGTCGTCTAATCGATTCATCTGAGCCATATATGGATCCTCGTTTGGCGTCTTGTTGTTCTGAAGCATTTCCCAGTGCACAAAGCCTTTCCGATCCTATCGAACACAAATCATAGTCCTTTCGAGATAGGGGTCTGACTTTACTCTGCGTTTAGGTGCATTTGTTAAAGCTACTTATCTTTTTTTCTACGCTATATCGGCGCGAAGACAGAATTTCTTGTCGCCGATAACGGGTCCGTATAGAAAGCTGTCATTAGTTGCGTGGTACTCAGTGCCAAACAAGATGTTAAAGAATAATAAAAGGTCAGACCTGTGTGTTTCTCTTGACCAGCCTCATGGGACGTCTAAGAGTTTGATTTGTTGAGTAAATCCTGCAAATTCAAAATTATTACCTATAAATGCATGACTGCAGCCAATATTCTAGCACAATTCATGAGCTGTTTATCGGCCGTATTCTTTCGAAAATGTCTCTAAGCAGTTTTCAGCGATGATGAATGGCGTCAGTCAGAGCGGGGTTGCATCGACTCATTCCAAAGAGCTATTATTGAACCTCGAGAAGCTTTCCTTCAAGCATCGAGTTCACATCGCATGCGGCAAATATCCAAAGCTCCATCAGCTGCTTGATCTCGACAAACTATGTGGAACAGGTCGAAAATATACTTTTTTTATTATCTGGTATCTTTAAAACTTCAACTTTAATGATTTCAGGTGGCAAAACACACCGGTACAAAAAAACATTAGCTTGTTATGATCAAATCTAACGAACTTTGAACTTGAATAGATTTTAGACTAGTTGATCTCGAATGATGAACTTTTAATATGTTAGACATGCCTTCTTTATGGCACACATTTATTTTTTACACGCTTACCCCAGCATTTGGTACCATTTTTTTTGTTTTTGGACGAACATAGATTCACCGTTCACGTTGCCATATGTAATTTTTCTATCTACAACGTCTCAAAGTAAGTCAATAGTGGGGTATGCTTGCTTACCAGTTGCTTTTCCCGCATATGGAAGGTAGCGTGGTCACTCGGACCCAAATCGAGAGATTAAGGTCAATGTTGGATATTTCTTTCCGCAACTGAGAAAGTAATTGAGACATAGCTATGGGTCTTGGAATCCTCATCAAGTTATAAGAGTGTGTGCTCCCGACTGCTGTGCCAACGGTTCATAAGTTTATTGCGGATCCCGAAATGGCGGGTTGCGTTCGCTGTTTAATTAACGGCGAATATCACATAGTAGCAGATACTCCTGATTCTATTGCAAGTGCTACCGTCATCTTATATCAGAACCTACTCTGCACTACCACCGAACTCGATTTCCCTCGAGGACGACGTCATTCCCTTACTTGACCTCTCCCCGACTAGCGATAGACATTAAATCATGCCTCGTTCAATTTAAGCGGTTTGTTTTTTGTTGATTGAAGTTTCGCACATAGCATGTGGAATATCGCGCGCGTTTCTCACTGATCTGGACTCGATTCACGGAAACCCCATTTTCTACTCAGTTCCCGTATTTTCACTGTTTGGCTTATGACATTCTGTAACACCGTTACACGTAAAGTGCCAATTTTGATCGACAGACTCTTTAGATTTCACGTTCTGCTCTCGTACTTCGATTAAGGCTTTAATGATTTTCCGCAGCTCTGTGGTTCATTTTTGAGACTAAACGATATTTCTTTCATTTAACTCATGTATCTTGGAGCGTACTCAACTAGTTTAGAAAAAAACTAGAGATACTTAACGGCCGAATTTCGTCTGCTAGCGGCAAGAATAGTTCAGTGTTAAGGTCTGTCGGACACGTCTAGTAAATGAGCAGTGGACAGGCCGAAGCAAATAACGATAATAAAAAAAAATAAAATTATTAATTTGTACTTATGAAAAGGGAATAATTCTTATCGTGTTTATTAGGGAACCTCTTGAAAGGCCTGTGCATGTATTCCACTCCAGCTAAAATTAGAAGATTATTTCGCACGGGTAATATATGCCTGCAGTTCTTTTACACTAACGGAGGTCTTCGTTAGGAAGATACGTTTAGCAAAAGAACCTCTTAATAAGCTCTGTTTATTTTTCGCTGTATGAGTGTTATTTGTGGCCTGCGCAGCGCTTTCAACGGACCTGCAATTTTCATATGGTATGATACATGCGCTCTTCAATTGCATTCGCGCCATTGAAAAACAAAAATGCGTTATCATAAACGACTCCCTTTTTCATAGCGGTTTCACTTACAAGACTGCTGCTTTTCTACTTCCCTCCGAAATCAACAGTTCTTCAAATCTCTAGCGAACGATGCAAAATTGTGATGCATATTGCTGTGGTATGTTCGACTTCTTAGGGGGATTTGAAGCTTTTGAAAAACGGGCATATTATTCTGCAAAATTGAGCACACTTCATCGATAATGATTCATTTACGAAAGAATCTACTCCATCCAATACGGCTTATGTTCACTTCCATCGAGTCAGAGTCACCCTGCGTGTAATCATATCAGGCACGAAAGTTCATTCTGGTTTTCCGTCAGGACAAAGAATGGTTGTATTAGAATCAGCATTTGTGGAAGGAAACAGGACTTCTTTGGTAAACCCATCGTAATATGCAGCCATTGTTTAACAACGTAATAGAAAGAAATTAATAAGGTCTTTGGAAAATAATTTATTTTATTTATTGATTTAATCATTTATAAGTTACGACACTCTTTTCTGTTACTATTGTGTCCCATGTTTACCTAGGTAGCTTCGGGTGTGACTGTATGATTTATGGTCGCTTTTCATTGTATCGCATTGAGCACTTATCATATTGCTTTTTTTTTTCAGACCACTAAAGACAGTGTCTTGCAGTCGCTAGTTTTTCGTTATTGTGTATATCAGTTTCTATTCACCGATAGAAATGTTCTTCCATTATCCTTCACAACGTTAGTGTATATCCTAGGTACTGTTTAAATAGGTAAAGATGTCATGTACAGTGACTAATATTACAATGTTACAACCATATCTCACAAAACGTTCTTACGGATCAATAGATTGCGATCTAATGCTTTTTGACGTAGACCTCATTCGATGTTATGTTATATCCAAAATGCATACATGATTTAGCCAGCAGCTGCCTGCAGCGCGATCAGCTTATTTCACGTAGACCTTGCCGTCCTATTTCGATATGTGCCACCTTCAACATGTCAGGACAGTATTTCGAAAAATTCGCTACAAGGTTAGAATATTCTTTTTGGTAATGGCCATATTAATGTGCTACAATTGACGTCGTAGTGGAAGCTGCGACCGGCGTCGTTACGCTCGGCGTGACAGCTAAGTCATGTTTGAGACTGAAGTGAGCGCAGCCTTGGTTACGGAATACCGCGTAAATATGAATATTTTCGACGCGGTGTACAATGAGGCCTGGTAGAACTTTCATTGCACGATTTGCTGCTTCTTCGCTGACCTTGGATCGCTTGACCGTAATCCGTCGCAGAGACTGACAAGTGCGGACAAAACTGGCGAGTCCAAGTTCGCTAACATTTGTCTCACAAAGGCAAATAACTTCCAGTTTATCCAGGCAACTGCCAGCAGAACCGGATGTGCGACTGTTTTCTAGAGCAATAATAGAGGAGTCTTTTAATGATGTGTACCCAACATAAAGTTCGCGAAGGTCCGGCGCATGGCGAGCGATTGTCACCAAATCGCCTTCGCTAATTTCGGTGCCCTCGAGATCGAGCACCTTCAAATTGGGGTAGTTTCTGAGCAATGTCTCCAGAAATTTCGCTGACTTCAGATGGGGTGCTCCCTCAAGGTAAAGCTCTTCTAGACTGTCTATAGCTGGCCATGAACGTTCAGGAGGAAAAATCGAGTTGTCGGATCCCGTATTTCCTTCCAAAAACACCGCCCGTCCAACATCAAGAACGCGGAGCTTACTGAGCTTGTGCAGTGCAGCAGACTTAGAGGATTCATCGGTCATTTTTGAGAAAAAACTTTTGGGCTCGAACATCGAGCCACGCACCGACACACGTTCAATGTTCGCAGGAAAGTCAGCCAGACGTACACGCCGACTCTTCTGTTTCGCCCTGAGGTTTAGGTTCTGAAGCTGAAGTGTTTTCATCGATGGACAGCTAGATTTCAGTTTTCTTATGTTTGTCGCTGTGATAAAAGAGCACTTGGCGCACGCGTCGGCCGCTTTCCCTTTAAGAGCAAGTTCTTGAGTAAGATTAATATGCTTTGCTTTGGCTGTTGACTTGAGGATCTTCGCAAGAAGATCCGGAGTAACTTCAGTTCGCACCTCCTTTGTCTGTGAGAGAGGTGGGCAACAGCATGAGTCGGAAGACGTTCCGAAAGCAGCTTTCTGTAATAGAAAATTAGTAACAACAATTAACTACTTCCATTTCAAAAACTTCGTCTTATAGTAACTTGACAATCAATAGCATCTCGACGAAGAGGTCTGCCTATTCAAAGCCTATTAAGCGCAAGCAAATTTGAAGCACGCAATGTTTAAGTAACTATCGCAGTACGCATCATTTTAAGAAGAGCATATCATGATAAATGAACTTCAATCTAGATATAATACCTTCACGCTGCTGTCTGCAGTAATTGTATTGCAAAACTTATCGGCATTTGTCACTTAAGGTAGGCTATTCAACTTGAACTGAACCTTCGAGCGCGTGCCTGTCGGATAGTTACTTTACGAATTAGAAAATGCTAAATAAATTTACTGATCATATCTTAAAGGTTTGTAGACCTAATCTTGGGATTAACGCCCACGAAGGATGTATCCTAGCTGTAAGAAGTTAGGGGAGCTTTAAAGAAAAGTCAAACTAGCATTCAGACGAATACAGTGAAGCAGTAAAGCGCACCACGATGCTCTCGTGGGGGACGTAGAGATCGGGATTGCCAGTCCGCTGCATGTACCGCCCTGTAAGTCTAGTCCTCCTGCAAGAAAGGATCTCAGGCAAGCTGACCAACCGCTGCCTTTACTGTTGCATCGAAAGAATACTTGACGCCAAACGTATACCCAAAAATGTTACCATTCGGTAAATAGCACAGTCGAGTGTCATTGCGTGACAGGTTCGTCACAGTAAGAGTTGCTTATAGATCGATGAGGCTTTTGTCAGCTTTAAATCGATTAGCAAAGTTCCTCGGCTCCTTCGGTCAGGGCAGAAATTTGCCTCCCGTTCACTTCTACGCTTCATACTGGCACTAAGAATTGCGAATGAATATTGCACTGGGAATTTCAAGATAGACTGTATCCAACTAAATTTCATGTAGACCACAGGATTGGTAGATGACCCCATTGTAATAACGCAGCCCCCGACATGCAGTTGGTTAATTCATAGTGAGAGAAATATTTTTCAAAATTTGCAGATAATGTTGTTAGCATCCTATCACATTATCCCTGCCATATCTGCTGTGGTGGTCAATGCCCCAGATGAGTTAATGCTAGAAATTTGTCATCGTACCAGTAATAATAGCGCTGATTAATTTTAATAAACAATTTTTATTTTACGAATCCTGTTTCTATTTAAGGAAGCGGCCTGCTCACCAAGTTTGCCAGTAACAAAAGCTATTTGAGCGATAAAAGTCATACAGACGATAGAAAAGTTCTAGAATTTTTTTTTTTTGTATACCACCTCAATCAACTCTTGAAGCAGGCTATACTCGATACATTGGGCGATCACCGTACAATAACATTTATATATATGGATATTCGTTTCGTGGGGGGGACAAAGGAAGATGTAATCTGGAGAAAAATTTCCCCTAAAATACGATTTACTGAATTGACTATTATCATTTTCCCGTGATAACGACGACCTTATAAATGTTCCGCTGGCTTTTCGATAGACAAGAATTTTTATTCTTGTTTACAGCGAGCAATTTTTACTTTTTTTTTTTTTATAGAATTATATCACCGATACGTTTGCGTTAAACGTATGCGTTTGCTGAGCTTCAGAGTAAATCTTGAACAGTAAAGATAGACAAATCATAATTAAAGTGTAATGCTGGCACGCTTGAGACGATAATTAATATTTTCCATATATAAATGGATATAGTTTACTCCTTTAGCATTCTACTTGACAGCTACTTCAAGATAAAAAAAATATCGACCCATTCAGAAATGACGGGATGCTCCAGTAAACGCCAGATATTAGATAATGCTTCCGGTAAACGGTTATCATCTTCCGGTGTACGTGTCTGCGCTATTTAACGAATTTATCATTTAAAATTAATTGTTGTAGGTATATTTATAGAACGACGATGAACGCATTGCCATACATAAAAGATAACAAATGATGATTAACTACATACATATATGTACGTAGTAGTAGTGGTAGTAGGACAACTGGTCTGCTGTGCCCATAGAAACATTTGTGTCGTAGACGTTTTCGCACACAGCAGATCACGTAAATGACGCGAGATCGACCGGTACGGTGAACGATAGATTCGATTGAACCCAAACATTGGTAAGAACAAACAGCTAAACTGATATCAAATTTAGAAAAAATATTAATAATATGTATGTATATGATTAGCGCGATAGGACCTGAATCGAAGGGTAGCTACTCAGCTATTGTAGCATCTGTCAGTAACAACAGCAGCTGTATAATTGTTTAGCTTTTGATTGAAGCAGACTCGGGCAATGTTAACTGAAAGTCAAAGGTTGGTCATTGCAAATAAACAAAATACTAATTAATGGTGATGGTAATAGTATTAATAACAGGTATCTACATATCAGCCTGTGTCATCGGCGGATCGACGAAATGTTGTTCAAGCACCGTCAATTGGATCTTCTACCAAAAGAAGTAAAGATGGCCTGCATAGCCTCTATCCCATCCCCTAGCGATAAATAGCCATTTAGAAATCTCTTATTTCACTGGATAGCATACAAAATTGATTCAAGAACTAGTTAGGTTTTAGTGCGACCACAATACTGGTCAATCGAAAACGAAAACTAACTAAATAGAGGCTACGCTCAATTTGTACGCAGTGCATGAAAATCTGGGAAGACCTGGTCGCTTTGGAGCATAAATGTGCGAACGTTTGCCCTGCTTATGTAGACCTCGAATTACCTTGTCCTGTTCTTCAGATGGAAACTATTCGACGTTGTCTATGTGTAACTACAAGAGAACTTCTTAGAATCGAAACATTCGAATTTACACTGCAATCTGTCATGGGTGAACGAAGACGCGGTCTCTAGGCTAAATTTCTATGAAGCTAGCTGTAGTAGATAGAAAAGATAGAAAGTTGATAGAAAGTTGAAACTACAACCTTCATCTACTAGGGAACCTCAAACGCAAACAGATTACTGAAGTACAGAAGGACGGAACGCTGTCATCATACGGGAAATCATACGTCTAGGGTGAAATTCGTCAGTCTCTGTAAAATTATTTGAATTTAGGTAATACCAGTTAAGCGTATCCAATGTGTCAGCATCGTGTCTATTTAGAACACGCTGATAAGAAAACTGAGTTGAACCAACACAATTTTATGTAGCACTCAATGAAATGAAAAGAATGCATCATAAAAAGGTCGATAGAGATCTATATAAACGGAGTAAGAAGCATGAATCTTAAGATAGGAGAAATTGAAAGCTTACCATGGGAGAACCTCGGTCCTCGCTTTTAAAAGTGATGTTGATAGCATCTTCATATCTAGGCGCCATGATATCTCTAGCTCTTTTCGGCGAATACCCTTCACAGTTTACTTCAGAAGAGATCTTGCGATCACCCTTAGCGTGGTCTAACATGAGCTTCAGTGAACTCAGGATATCCTTCTCGAACATTGTGCTTTCGTTCTGCTGTTACTCTTATCGGATTGGATAGTCACAAATGCTATAAGATAACAGTCTGGATGGTTCGTACAACTCTGCTACGCACTCTCGTTTCAGAAGCTTTAAAGAAACTTCAACAACCGCTGTCCGCGAACGTCACTAGTAGCGGACGTCCGGATAGTACAGGTAATGCTGGAGCATCTTATGTACTTGCACGAAACAAGACGCAGATTTAGCCTACACTATAAAGTATTTTACAAAGTACTGCCGGCGATCTTTTGTGGTCACTTGCATTGGTTGTGGATGATTATGAATGAACCGAACCGGCAGGCGCCTTTTAAGTGACTTTCATGAAATTGTTTTTTCTCTTTCTGGAGTTGTCCTCCTCTCATGAGCTGCCTCTTATGACAGGGGGCCGGAAAGAGAGGATCCGCAATGGCAGTAGCGGTAGCTGTCACTGTCTGGAATAGCGATATCTGTGGCAAGCCTTAAAGGGAGGATCGTGTCTTCCATTGACCGCGATCAGATCGTTGACAGGGCTCCGTTTTTTGCGGCGTTTTAGTAGTAGCGCGTAGTGTATGAGGGCCGACAGGCGCTTTCCACCACCAAATACCTAAAAGTTGTTTAGAGGCCATACTATTAACTTACAAACGAAGACTACTAATCACAGTTATTCTCTCTGACAAAGCAAATAGGCGTATTTGATTTGGTGCAAAAAGTTATCATCAAGAACTTAGTTTTAACCTTAACCATCCAGAGAGAACTAACTACTTGTAAAAGCAAAACGTATAGATGATAAAGAACAGCGGAGCCAAAAAGTACTGCAAAATAAAAACAATTTCGACGGACTCATTTGTTATTGCTCAATGCATTGAAATGGCAAATCAAAACTAGAAAAATATCATCTCATTCTTTACATCAAAGTATACAAGATGCGTACTTCTAGTTAGCGCTTTGTTGTGGTTGCCAGCTGTTTCCCATACGCAACACATACATCGTTTTAGTAGCTCAACATAGGGAACAACTGAAGTTCGCCTTTAATTTCGAGTCTACCTCTAAGCTTCTTGCTTTCATAGGTTTTAAAAAATCACACAAAATATCTGGAGGTATCTAATGGATAGACATAGAGACAACGGTATTAAAATTTATGTAGCGATAACTGGTGATCTATTAATATCGTTCTGAGTTTTGTTCTTCGTGCACCCTTTCATCCTCGCTTGCTGGCCGTATTGCCTATATGTGAGTGTTATATTTACGTGTGAACGATAGTTTGTGCATTTATCTGCGACTACAAAAGATTTGTGGTACTATTTCATAACATCCGAATGAGACCCATTGACCATTAGTCGTCAGACCAGCAACAGCTGCCTAAAATTGAAAATCTACATCGATCACCCCTCACCGGTCCCCAGTGCAAATTCGATGACGACGCAAATAGCATACCTATATCTTATTAATCGTATCAGTCCTTCAGTCATCGTAGCAGCTCAAAGGATTAAACTCAAACGATAGCCAAAACGTTCCTAGTTTCTTCACCCGCGTTACTTTCATAAACGCAACAAAAACATCGCGTATTTATTATTACAGAAAGCCGAAGATGAATGACATTACCTTCTTTAATCTCAGTACTTTTCTTGGTACTGTAAGGAATGCGATAGATCAATTATAAAACAAATTGATAGTCATGAAAAACAGCAAGGAAGTTGGCAGCATGCTGCGCGAGAAACTATATATAGTTCGGTAGAGTATGTTCTTCATTTTGTGAACTTCTAGGGGAAGGCAGTATTACTAATTCGTCGAAGTACCACGCTGGGTGTCAGTGGTCAACTCGACGTCTCCGCGCGGAGGCCCTTACATCATCAGCTGGCAGCCAGGAAAAAATATTAACTAGTGGTAGAAGTACAATCACTACCATTAACAACAACTCGTACTACTCGTGGGACGTCCAAATCATCAAAAGTATCTATCCACGTGGTCGATCCACAGAGTAACCAATGATAAGGCGGGAAGACCCAGCCATTCCACGACTGTTCGCCTTACTCAAAGCCAGCATTTCGAAAGAATTATGCAGGAAAAAGGGCTTCTATTCCAAGGCATACTTGTGTACACATATGAGCCGGAAATAAAAGTAAGATTGAATGATGATGATGATGATGATGATGATCCAAACACATCAGCTAAACCGAGAAGAGCAAATTATGAAACCGTTTCGTAAGCTGTTACATTACGGAGGCCTTTGTTGGCCTGGGGCCAACTGTTCGAACATGTATTAAATCGGCCTTGTGGCTGATAGCAGGACAAATAGCGAAAGTAAAAAAACAAGTCGTCCAGCCTATGGTAAACATTTGAAGAATAGAACGCTCATGCGACATTTGTTTAAAGCTTAAATTGTCCAAATGTCTTTAGACCGTTTCCATTAACGAGACTATAGCATTTTTCATCATTATCAAATTAAAAAAAAAAAAAAAAAGGACGAAGCGAGTAACACACAGCTAAACTTAATAACATCTACGATCTAGGTAACATGAATGAACCATGTAAAATGACGACATAGATGATCCCTAGAATATCCAGGCTTATATCCGTCTCACCTTATCGTGTTTCCCAGATAAACGTGAACTAAGCGACAGCAATCGTTTCGGGGAAACGGCCTCTGCCTAAAGTTGCCACTTCGACATCTCCTCTTCACGAAGCATCGTCAAATTCTTAGCGCACAAAATTTAGACCTTTAACCGTGTCTAAATACATCGGTAATCTAATCGTTATAACAGTATGGAAAATACTATACATTCAAATACGTCAACGCGTTAAAACGACACGTCTATTAAATAATGCTAGATTCCTTTGTAATATTTATTATAATAATATCATACTTCCGCTAAATTGCATCAAATATGTTTTCGTCGATCTTTCGTACAGATGTACGGTCACTTTCGACTGGGTTTTTTTTTTGGCAGTGTGCTAAATAGGCCCTTCTTTATTGGACCGACCGGTATAAGATCAACACAGCTAAAAATCATTTTGTTCGTTGTCTCTATTCACTGATATCTATCTAATGCTTTTTTTCGAGTTTGAAATCTTTGGATCTCTGTTCTTCTTGGAGGATTCTGTTCGACGTTTGGCAACACGTAAGGAATTGAATCACCTAATGCATGACCGCTCAACCCACAATACAAGGACTACTTATAAACTGATGCATTTGTCTGTGACTAGCAGAAAAAGGTATATTTTTACCAATCTACCCCGATACTGTTAATTGTTCTAACGCGCGATAATTGTTACGTAAATGACCAGCTACAGGATTTGTAGTGCGCGCTGTTGTCATGCAATAGGTCTATAGACTCATTCTTCTCGTTGCGTACGAGCAAGGTAAGCAGACGAACACAAATTAGTTCGTGCTATTACGGTAAACAACTGCCGTATCGCACGGAACTCGGTTGCTGCCGTGGTATCTGTTGGTACTCAACAATATTCATTAGTTGTACACAATACATGGATAAATACTCTGACCCATTGTTGACTAAATAGCTTAGAAATGGAAGAAACCCACTTGATGTTACCGCGGCAAGCTATTGCCTGCCGGAGCCATTGACAAACCCACGAAGCACCAATGTTGTCTGTAGGCATCTCGCTATTGATACGAGCCGCATGAGACGAAACAGTGTGCACCTTGCATTTGTCAAGTTACGGCCTAAGCAAGTAGAAGCAGTAATGAAAGTGACCGCTATAATTCAAGTAGTCGTATGTTGACCTCTATTTATAAGATCTCCACCGTCAGACACTGTGATTTTCGTTAAAGTCAACAGTTAAGCTTACAACCTGTCTTCTACTAATGCTCGCTATGCTTCGAAATAGGCTTGGGACGATACGCTGAAAGTATTCGATTGTAACGAATGAGAAATTTCAGAGCTCAAGCGACAAAGTCGGACCAACGATTTGGTCTGAGCTTCGCAGACTATTCAGCCGTTTGTTAAACGACTTTGTCTTCCAGAACGTCATTAAACCTAGCGTGTGTGGAGAGCAGTTTTTCGAAGAAGTTCAGCGACGTAGCTAAAACGCGTGCGAACATTCGTCTGTTACGCAAATATCCTTTGATAACAAAGCTATGCAAACTGCTTCAATTTTATAGTGACGATCTTCAAGTCGCTAGCTAGTAGGAGCACATTTATACATGTAGGGGTTTGAGTTTTGTATAGACCGGTTCCTTACAAAGACACAATCTCCAGAAGCAGACGCTGCTGATAGACTGAAGGTTTATATCGCAGTCATGTTATGCTGCCGTTGGACGGCATGCGTACGCTAAGAGTTTATCACAAGAGCTCACCTTTCAAGTAAGAGTGCGTTTTCTGTATAGTCAGTCTTAACTATGGCCTAATCATATTCAATAAACTTCGTATAAGGTAGCTTCCACCGCACAGTTCTGATTCTACCATTCCGATCCAGTATTAGAGGATTTCAGACGACTTATAGCCATATTCCTTGATGAAACGTTACCGTCTGCGAATTCCTTTTGACCATAGACGTACCCATAAATTGTTTACTCCATTCGAATAGGCCCGCTTTTATCTCATACCTTGCATTTAACACAGTAAATTGCCTAACCTGTAGCCTATAATAGGCTGCAAACACCTTCGTCTCTACGGAAACTTGACTGATTTCACAGTGGCTTTCGACGACATATGACCAATTCACGAGGATTTCGGGTGACTGAATGCTACCAGATGAAAACTTATAAGGAAACAAGACGCAATTTGAATGATTGCAATTACCTATAAAAGCGATAATTATACAAATCATAATGGTACTGCTGCATCCATTTTTTTTTCTTCGTTAGGATCGACCTTCTGTCACTATAACGATTGGGAACGAGGCGCACGCAAGAGGACGGCAATAAAAGTGAGCAATTCTGTCCTGGCTTTCTCGGACCGAATGATACCAGTTTAATGATTTGACTTTAAATAATGCGACTTAATAAGAAAACTTGAAATATACACACACATATAATCGTAGGATTAGGATCACACACCTGCGAGAGGACGACCAAATTCAGAATAATAGTACTAATAGTCATAATAAGAGTAAAAAAGGCTAGTTGTTGTTCGACCATTTTCCTTACTACGATCATTATCTCTAGGAGATATTTGATTTACACTAAAATCATGGCACGGTGACGCCCTATACAACTGAACAATAACCAATAAAGGTAAACAGATCACAGTGGCGCTCACAGTATCACTGTCCACTACTGAAGTTCGAAAAAAATTCAAGCTAAATTTCTCTTTATTTCGCAAGCGGATTATCAATATATTTACGATAG